GCAACCCCATGAAGAGTAGTTCATATACACGAATTAGATACAGCGTGAACCCAAAGCTCCCATTCATGATTATGTCAGAAAACACGAAAATACCCCCCCTGCAACGGTTCTGCACCCTGGTCTCTGTGTGGATCTGGTTTGTGTTTCTGGTGTTTAATGAGCAGATTTTGCCATCTACTGGCTCCATGTGCACGTTACATAATGTGTAAATAACGTTTCCTGTAATGCACCGCCTGAAAGAGGAAGACACTGTTACAGAGTAGAATATATAATATTATAACAGGCATTTCTACACAATGAGTACTTTATTACAATACAAAACTTCTACTTCTCTACTTGTAATAGAGTATTTCTGTTTTCCCCAGTATGCAGGATTTAGTGGCATCTAGCAGTGAAGTTTTAGATTGTAACTAACTGAATACTGCTCGCCCTCCAAGCGTGTAGGAGAATCTACGGTGGCTGTACAGGGGCGGATCCAGAGAAACATATGGTGGCCAGATTGGCAGAACTATATTTGGATTTAATCACAAACACATATATCAACATTTGTTTGGAAAAGTCCCCAAATGAACACATTATTGTAAAGCATTAAGTAGAAATCTCTAAAGGTGGCATTAGAAATCAATATACCATTTTATTTATATATTTTTTCATTGAATTTAAGCATCAGTCAGTCTTTTTAACACATTTTTTTATTTTTAAATTGAATCTAAATGAATGTTTTCAGTTTGACAGCATTTGATCCCAAACTGGGGTTTTTGAACCACTGCTTTAGATCCGCCCCTGCCTTTCTAGCACCCCCTATTGGCAACAGGAAATGTAATTTTTATACTTTGATGTACTTCTAGTGGATTGACCATTTTTCTAGAAACATCTGGCGGTTCAAATTGAACCTCATGACGGACCAGCTGTGACCCCCGGGTCAGTGGTTAGTTTGTCCGTTCTGGTGAAACGTCTCATTCTAAGGTAACGAAAACCATTCATTCTTCATATTCAGGTGATTGTACACTAATGTAATCATACCTATGGATATTATATTTCTGACAATAGATCCTCCTCAGTGTTACACACTGCACCTTTAAAGACATGAGTACTTTTTTCACCACTGTGCAATAACACCAACCTACAACTAAGTCGACTGAGCCTCTGTCAGTACCTGCAGAACATTAAAAGCTCAGTGAAGGTAGTTTGCGTTGTAGTATCTGAATCAGAATCAGAATTAGTTTATTGTGTAGTTGTATTTCATAGAGGTGTCACTGACGGCACTGAAGGATGTTTGAAATAAACCTTCAGGAAACGTTTACTGCCTCCACTGTATCCGTCTGCTGATGGAGATTATGTCATATGGTTCAGAACAGCTACTAAATGGATCCGATTTTTTCTTTTCTGCAAACTAAAAGAATGTAAATGAGATTATTGTTCCCCTGTGCTCGTTCTTTCTTTAACCAGTGGAAGCCTGCATGTGCTGTAGCTTACCAAGATGAGAAACGATCATGTGAAACTTTAATGATCCCTGTGAGGAAACTGAGTCATTTGCAGCTAACAGGATATGAAAAAGAAATTAAAGAACATAACTGAGCGTGGACTTCAAAGCCTGCAGAGACATTTCCAGTGTTTAGAAACACACTGCACTTCAGCCCGTCATGAACATCACCATATTCAGCTGGATTCCCTTTCTTCTCAGGTCCTTTTTATTCCTGGCTATTGGAAATGATGATCTTTACCCCGTGGATTGAAATGCTAATGCATTTTATCATACTGTCTGTCGTATCCAGCTCAGAGTGAGATTGCACAATAGTGTGAAAGTGCAGAACCGAAGCGCACCATTTTTAAACCCCAGCTGTATGTTGGTACTTCAAAGCAGTCCGGCCTCTTCTGTTCTGAGTCTGCGCTCTCTGGGGAGACTGGTCTCTGTGTGACTGTGAAAGTTGGTGCAAAATGTGGCTCTGAAAGAATCCGTTCCTCTTTGACTAGGAGGGCCACAGACACCAAAACCTGAAGAAGAAGAAAGACATTTTCTGCCGGTGAATTCTACTGTGGCTGCGTTGTTTAATTCAGTGGTTGTCAAACTTTTTCTGCCGTTCAGGAGCTGAAAATAATTCACAACCCACTACTCCACAACTTTTACTACAACGAGAGGGTCAGCAACTAATACTAAAGTGGTGACGTAAAGGTCAGCACACCTTTATTTTCCCACATAAATCCCTTTTTATTCAACTAATTTTATATATTTTTTTATATTTTCTTATTTTCAAGTGTCTGACTTGAATTTCTCCCACAGGGATCAATAAAGGAACATCTTATCACATTTGTAATAATCTGATTTAGTTTTATAAAATTCAAACAATCTGTTATAAAAGAAAATGTCATTACATTTTATTATCATTATACTGCTTGACATTTTAGAGATCTCTGTTACAGACTTCGTTAAAGGTAATTAAAGGTATGTGCCTTTCCAAATCAGGGGAGATTCCCAAACTTCCACATGCACATTAGACTCCCAATGTGCAGGGATTTGGTCTTGTTGGTATTTTTTGTTTTAGTTATCAATGATAAAACTAGGATCATTATAAATAACCACCAATTCCTTCCCTCATTGTTCCAACTTCCAAAACTGGAATGAAAGTTAAAATATTCTATTCCTTCCTTCTTTCTCTGGGGACCCCCTACAAACCACTCAAGGAGCCCTGTTGGTCCCTGGAGCCCAGTTTTAAATCACATCCAATCAACTGAGCTTGCCTCAGGCAGACAATCGAGTTCCAGAGATATCTCCAGGATAATCAGATCCATCAGGCTGCACCTGAGCTCCGCTGGAAAGACGCCACAGAGGATCGGAGATCTGAAAAAATGCCTAAAAACACGTTTTCATTGCCAGAAAATCTAATCTACACCAGAACAGAGGAGGTCTCAGTACTTTCTGAAGCCACTTTATGGTGTTCATGAACCGCTCCGGGTGCTCACATTAGTCTAAGACCCGGTTTCCCAACACGGAGTTCCAGACACCCACTAGGGGCCGCCAAAGCTTCACAGGGGGTTGCGAGGCCTTTCCTAACTACTACGAATTTATTTATTTTTTTTTAAATTTTGATTATTTCTATTAAGAATGTTTAAAAAATCAAAATAACACAATATAGACGGAGAATTGTATAAAAAATATCTAAAAATATCAGGAACACTCATCTCTGATCAATATTCTCAGGAAATAATCTGCTCACAATTCATCCAACTCTGGTTTTACACAAACTTCCTGCAGTTACTGAGGCCTCTGTTTGGGTTCATTGTTCAGTTTATCAGCTGTTCTCTACTGTTATTGTCATTACTGAATATAATATGAAATATATCGGTATGTCACTCTTAATGATAGAAAATGACTTTGTTAAGGAACAAAGTTGATACTCGCTGATGTAGGAGATAAAGTTTGAGCTCTATTATAACCATTTTAATGTTTTGCCTCCTGTTTTAGTCAATTCAAAGCAACAATCTGACAGTTGAGACAGTAAAATACACATCATACATTTGGGCAAAACCAAGAAAAGTTCAATAAGCTTTATTAAATTTCTTTCCAGATGGGTAAAGGGTGATCTGAAAAAGTTCACCTCGGACACAGTATTGCACCAAGTTAAGCTAATGTCATCAAAAGGCCAACAGCGTCAACTATCTCTTAAAAATAGAGGCAGCAGAGAAAATATGCCATCTGAACATTTTTCAGTAGTTTACTTTTTTCATAAATAGCTTCAGCTCATCACACCGTTTATGTACACGCATAATTGAGGAAGTAAGCAAAACATCCATCCAGAACCATTTATATTTCTACAAAATGGATCAATTAACAAGCCAGAAAGCATCTGTTACACTTTATTTTACTTTCTCTCAGAGATCTTATCTTTATATATATATATATTTCTGGCTTATTAATAGACCTTCTTTTGTGAAAACCCGTCTCTTATCGGCCACATTTTCAAACTCCAAACAATCAAGAAGAAATGTACAAGTCTTCAAACATCAGGCGGAAGATAGAAACGTGTATATACATACATACAGTCCATAACAGATACTGTACAGCATACTTTCTAAGAATGCACACATAAATACAGAGACATCTTAAATACATACAGTATGTACTTTCAGGTCCATTTTCAACGGCAAACTGTGACACCGGAGAACCTGCAGACACTTTTTAAAAAGCATCGTCTCCCACCATCTTTAACGGGCGTGAGAGCACTTATTCAAACGGCCAAGGTGAGAACACAAACACCTTTGGCTTTACAGTTAAAGGGAACAGGAGGGAGTGGGAGGGGTGTAGTGCTTCTGCGCTTACATGAGATGATTATATACACATTCGGAGTTTCAGTGCATAGTTTTTAACTCAGCATCACGATTATGTGCAAGGTATGAAACCAGGCAGGCGAGAGAGCAGCAGCTGGTGCCCATATCTGTGATTTGGGTGTAAAGCAAACAGTTACTGACAGACAGATGTTTGCATGTTTGTCCCCAGCTCAGGGAAACAAGGTGGAGAGTGAAAACAAGAATATACGGTAGTGTCAACCCAGAGGGGATATGGCTTTCTGCACCTTCTTAGGCTTTAACGTAGAAATTCATTCTTAAACTCCTCCGACTGGAGAATTTGGGTCAAACATTTTCTTTCCTCGTCTCCAAGACAAACGCTTAAATACTGATCCTTCCTAAGTCCCGCCCCTTTTGGAACCTCGGTCAACTTCCTCCTTTCCTGTACTGATAGATAGCATATAGCATGCTAGGCTAATCTATGCTGAAAAAATAACCACACTTTGAAGATGGTTAAAAGATAAATGCCACATATAAAGTATATAGCCACATCTTAAGTTAGCTAACAAATCAGCTAACTAATCAGCTAACGATTGATTTAGATTAGCTAGCCAGTCAGGTAGTGTTTTGCTAAGAATATTTTACTTAATATATCACTATATGTCACTTTTATCTTTTAACCATCTTAAAAATGTGGTTGTCTT